TTTGAGTTTTATATACTGGGCCTACTTGTAGCATTGAACAATGACAATAAAGAGTACTGTGCATTAAAAACTGACTGCAAGGGGTCTTGACCAAGCTTCCATATGTGAGAACAGGTTTGTTTTTATACACCGCCGTGCCCCTGACTTTGCCTCTGTGTTTGTGTGAGTCTCAGCTGGGTCCTGCCTGCCCGCACACCTGTCTACAATCAGCTCATCAACTTGCAGCTTATCAGCCCCGGCGTTCCTCCCACTCATCACCAGGTTGTTGTTTCAGCCACAGTGCTACACTGAGGCCTCTAGCTGTAGATACTTTATGAGTAGTTTTCATTGTACCTGAATTAAGGCTTGTTTGTTTCCGGTGCTCCAGGATTTCTGTTTGCCTGCCTGCCAACCAAATCTCCTGTGCTTCTTCTGCCTCCCACACTGTCCTCTGAATCCAAGCCTTGACAACTGCCTTCAAACTGCTAGTCACCTTACAATGTCCATAAGAAAAGTCAGTCACTGACTTTTTAGTGTCTTTTTGAAAAGAAACAGCATTATAAAACACCATAGTGTTTTTTTCCCCCCCCTGAATGTCTCAGACCAAGATTCTGAGGAAGTTCAGTTCAAAACTATGCGTATGTAAGCACTGTTTAAGTTAATAGCTCAGCATCCGCCTATCTGCTATTGCATCACGCTCATTTCTGCTTCTTTCAGCTTTCAGGAAGTAACAATATGACGAACTGACAGACTGTGATGAGGGAAGCATCACTGCAAAACATTTTGACACTGATGAGTCAACACAATCAGTTCAGCTTGATGAATCAGTGTTAAAGATATGTTTGTTCATGTGCCCAACATACAGTATTTACCCAACTTCTTCAGGAAACTCATGTAGTTGGACACCAGTCTAAACTATGGTATGCAGGTTTGGAGAAATTAAATTGCAGAATTTGGACACGCTGGGCAAAGGTTATTCTTTAAATCCAAAAGAAGCACAGTAGGGACAAACCTAGAGATGTAACATCCACTTATACAGCGGCTTCAGGATTTCTAATATCTCCTTTTCCCAACTTCTACGCAGCCAAAAATGGAGTTGCTGTGACTTCAGTCTGGTCTGGAGGTGACTGAGGCCTTCTTCAGCCCGAAGAGAGAAGGGTAATGTCTGTGTAACCTCGTCCTCAGGCACAGAAGCAGCATCAGTGATTTAATCCAGGAGAACATTAGATGATCACGAGTTTAAACAAAGCAGCAAATGTGACCTCTTCCATCTAGACCATTATTGTTCTCATTCTTAATCTTCTTCTTCTTCTTATAAAATAAAATTCTTACTCTAAAATGTGATGTATAAAATCACTTCCCTAAGCTGGAATTGGAAGAAAACATAAGTGGTATGTGAAACTACTGTGTCTACATATAATACTAAAGTAAAAGTTTTTAATGCTGATGGAAGTAAAAAGTATTGGAATAGATTTTAAATAAAATTCAGGGCTCAAAGCGTATGACTCAGAATACTACAAACTTACAAACGTACACAAAATACCTGTTGCGAGGACACAATATTCTTAGACTTTTTATATAATATTTTATATAATATTATAAGTATCAAAATTTTAAATCCAATGAAATGACTAAAACTGATTTGACACTGAAACAAAGATCTACAGAATATCTGAACAAATAAACAAATAATTATGTTTGTCAGAGATGTTTCACACCTTTTTGTTATGGAGTGTGGATGTTGTTGAATGCCCGCTGGAATGCCGTACCTGTCCACATCCTGCTGATAGTTTGACTCCAGGTGCACTGAAACTCAAGCTGCAGGATCAGCCAGCTAAGTGTGGCCTCAGGTGAAGGGGAACACATGGGCCAATCAGATTGTTTTGTGGTTTATGGAAGATAATCTGTGCTAGGGGCAGAGTGTGTGTCTTTGTGCTTTGTCATTCACCTTCAACCCCCCCCCCCACACACACACACACAGTTCACCAGGCCTTAAGAAACAACTATGAATGAGCCTTCATTGTTTAAAATCTCTCAAAATGTTGTCTATGTCTATCTTTGTGTGTGCTTTCTGCACGCTGCCCTTTCTCTGTATGTGTGCATGCCCTTACATATGTGACTGTTTATGAATGTGTGTGGTCTTTAGATGACGATGTTTCCCCTGAGGTGACGGATGTACAGATCACTTTCAAAGCCGGGAGATTTGTTCCCCCCATGAACAAAATGTTCCCGACAGAGATCAGGCTGTCAGTGAGAGCAGAGCTTTACAAAGGCCCTGATGTGTTTTGATAACAGCGCTGTGAAAAGAAGCGTAATGCTGTGGCTTTCTGTGGTATTCCTGCAAAATCACAGAGCAGATCTAACTACGGCTTTTGCTGAGAGCTCTAGCTGAGGTACAAATCTCCTGAAGAGCAGGAGTGGAATAGACAGCTTTCAACAGGAGGGCTCTCTTCTCAGTGTTGTGTATTTGTCTCATTGTTTACAGAGGAAACATGTCTCTCTCACAGCCAAGCTCACTGTTAGCTCACTGTGGGCTTCAGGTATCTTTCAGGTATTATATCCTCTCATAGATTGAATGGGGTGTATAAAGTGATCTGTGGCCCTACTGACCTTATGTGGTTTATAAAATGTATTTGGTCAAATTTGCAAAAATACAATAACATTTTTCAGTAAGTTATAATAGCAGTGGTGTAAGGTGACACGTTTCTCAGTCAGTGTTCTTGACTGTGATACTAAACCTCGACCTGCTGCACCTGACCTCTAACTGCTCTGCTGAAATGTGAACAAGTATGTGGGTTCAAAGTGAAGAAAGTAATTCATAAATCCATTCCAATCGCATAGCAAAGGTCTTCAATAATGACCTATAAGGTGAAGCTGGTCATTACATATATAGAAATGGGGGTAATTTCTGAACAGGACTTAAACCCCATGTAAAGAAAGTTGTTCTGTTATGTTTTTATTATTTGAGAAATAGAGCCATTGTTAAGTCTTTTATTTTAGTCACAGATCTGGGGAAACTCATCCATGCTTTAATCTCCTCCCCTTTACTATTGTAACTCCCTATATACCCGACTCAGCCAGAAATCAAGTAATTGCCTACAATTAGTCCAGAATGCAGCTTGACTTTTCTCTCTCTGCAAAAACTTTGACCATATTGTTTATTTTGGGATTGATTTTAAAATATTTTAATTACTTTATAGGCCAGGCAGGGGGTGCCACCTTTTTATATCTCTTTTTTTATTTGTTTATATGTTTTACATTGATTGTGACACACTTTTCTTAACCTGTATTGAATGGTGCTATAGAAATAAAGCTATAATTATTTTTATTTATATCTGTGACCTGAATACAAACCCAAACACTTGTTATCTAAGATGAGACACACAGATGAGCTGTTTGGATGGTTTGTACACACACTGCTTCTGATAGCCTTTAAAGGTGTGCTGTTGTTGTAGAGATTAGCCTGTATAGTAAACACTGAGAGCAGGTAAGTAGGGAAACCGTCATCCTCTGCATCTGCGGGTGCATGATTACTCTATTTAACTTAACATTATACATACAATGTACTCTTATTACCAGTGCATCAAATTGCATCAATCCTAACTCTACATCAACAGATAAAACTAAACATTCAAGATGATGCAGTCACTTCTGTCTCTCAAAAAAATCCAATTAATCAGAACACAACCCATATAACCTCATCTACGTTACAGAATTAATAATATTCTGTTAAATAGCGCCATCTCTGGTATTATCACTTAATTGACAAGCTAGTGTTTCTGTAAACTGCCTCACTTTTATCTATAATTTTTCCAACTGTGGTGCCAAAATCAAATTACTTCCAAAAATCACACATTGTGACATTTGAACAAATCAAACGGATAACTTTTTTTGTTTGACAGCCTTCTTGGTCCTCTTTTATTCACAATCTACAAAAACAATATTATCTCTACCACTCCAATTTGCCATGTACAGTTTTATGCAGATGATGCCATTTTATATTCCACGGGCTCTTCTCTTAATAATTTGCAACTGCATCTGCTTTTGATATATTTCGGATCTGTCTAATCAAACATAATCTTGTTTTAAATTCTGACAAATGTATACTATTCTTAAGGTCACTTAAAAGTATCCAGCCTGGTGCTTACATTGATGAAAGTTATGATTACTTGGGAATCTGACTGGATACTTGAGTCACTTTTAAAACCCATGAGGATCACCTCACAAGCAAACTGGAGGTCAAAATTGGAATTTGTATACATTTTCTGTATTTGTATAGTGCCTTTCTAGTCTTTCTGACCCCTCAAAACGCTTTTATGCTACATCATGGTCACCCCACTCATACACTAAGGCAGAGACTAAGGTGCCTCTGCCATCACAAAGCTGCAAGCATGGCTGTCGACTCTTGTCATTACTGGTACTCTCAATTTGTTTTCAAAACATATACATCTATGTGGACTCACAATAGTGAGAAAATAGGTTACTTTGTGCAATGTCAGCACACTGACTGCTGTAAGACAGTAAACGCAAAGCATTTGATAAGTCAGCATAGCTCTTTGAGATCAACTAATCAGCACTTTGATTTACACTACTGCTGCACAATTCAAAACATTATTTTGTCATGTTATAAAATTTTTTTTCAGTATTCAATATGTGTTTGCAGATCCTAGTGTGCAGAAGTAACTTTTTGTATTTTGCTTTAAAAAAGCCTTAGAAAATCTCCACAAACTTTTCAATACTCATAAGTCTACTGTTTTTATTAGAAAAATCTCATGTAGCTTTCAAGATTCAGCACGAGCACCACAAACCAGGACATGCCAGTAGTTATTAAGTTGCCCAAAATGCAGTAAAACCTCCATATTCCTTTAAGACAGACTGAACATTGAACATTATACAACTCCTCTTCTCCCTCGGAGTGCCTCTCTCTCGCTCTCTCTCTGGGCGATCAGTTCAGTGCTGCTGACTGTGTTGGACTCCGGAGCGTCACCCCGACCTGACGCACTATTGTACCAGAGCGCAGCTGTCACCATTACTTCATGCTTATTGGGCCAAGACCGAGAGAGGCAGAGGCAAAGCAAAGGCAAACAACGGGAGAGAGAGAGAGCAAGTGAGTTGGACCTCCGCGCTCTGCTCCATCGATCTGCAGAGGCGCACAGAGGAGCTTCTAGCGGACGTTGGATTCACAGTTTGGAACATGCTACTGGGCAATTTGGTACGGTAAGACTGTGACAGTTCTGCTGTTTGATTCATATGCCGCTTTGTTTTAGCTTTCATTTGGACGGCTGAAGTGTTTCCCAACTCCCTCCCTTCCCCGACAAAAATTGGGCTCTTGCAGAATTGATGTATCGACCTGTGAGTGAGAGAACTGCACTTTGCCTCACATCAATGCAAGCCTTGAACATTGGAAGCGTTTCCTGAAAATAGAGGAAATTACATAACTCTGGACAGGAATATGAATTACGGATCTGCCATGACTGGCTGCAGTTATTTTGGTCTGACAGTTGGAACAAGATGTATCGTGATAGTGGTGATGGTGATGATGATGACAGATTACCTAAAACAGCTCAGCAAACAGCTTGTCCACAGTGACTCACAGATTTGCTTACCTGGGAGGTAAAGGTCAGCAAGAGCTGTAGGTTAATAGTTAGGCTGTGGACTGTCCTCATTTCCATCTGTCAGAGCATGGATTTGACATCATCATCATCATCATCATCATCATGAGTAACTGTAGAATGATTTGGAAGGCACATAAGAAGGCATGTCTGTCATATGTAATGAATTAGGTCAATATGCTAAATGTCCTTACAATGAAACACCATGAATAATATTAAAGTAATAATAAACTATAACATGTTTGTGTTCAATAGTATTAATATTTTTCATCTCATAGTTTAATAGTACAGGTTTTGCCATAATTATGGTATTTTATTATTTACTATGGAAATGCATCATGGGATTGGCAGATACATGCAGTTGGCATTATCCTTTAAGAACACTCAGGGGCTTAGTTTTAGTTAGATGATGGTAACATTCAAGCTGAAAGTGCTTGTCTGTTGTGCTTAAGTTAGGATCTGGCTCAATGAGATGTTTAGAGCACTGTTTCCCAACCTCTGTGGCTTGTGTCCCTTTAAAACAAAGTCATGTCTTTGTGTAAACCCCCTGTCAAAGGTTTAATATATGTATGAGTTGCGACCATATGGTTTAATTTAGGTTAATAAATAGAATCGAAAGAAAAAAAGTCATGAAAATAAACATAGTTTTGTGCAGAAAAAATATGTTTTTAATTCTCTCCTATCCAGTTATTCATTATGTGACCCCCTCAGATTTATCTCATCACACATTTGGTGGTCTCGAACCCCAGGTTGGGGAACACTGCTTTAGTGTGAATGCAGATGCATTGCCTTCTTAACTCAGTGGTTCTCAAATATATTCCAGAGATCTCCACGGGGTTCTTGACAGGTTTCCAGGATGTTTCTTAAGAAAATTATTTCAAGAACAAAAAGTGAACAGCCAGCAAACATCTGCATCATTTCAAATGAAAACTCCCTCTGTGAGTTCCTGCCTCGTTTATGTTGAACAAACAGTTTTGTCTCAAACTAAAGTGATGTCCCAATGACAGAAGTGATGTTGACCTCAGAAACTAACCTCACTGATACAGTATGTGTACATGTTTAGACCATCTTCAGCTCTGTACAGCACATCGTGTAGCTTTGGTAGGAGATGACCCTTTATCAGAAGTGGGTTAGTGTTGTTCCCTTTTCACCGAGCAATCACACAACACTCAACTTTTCCAGCGTTGCCATTCTTGGCTGCCCGTTGACCTCTGACCCCTTTGGTGAGATGTGAACATGAATGTGCCTCAGAGGAGAAGAAAACAAACTCCAAGGGCAACAAGGTAGCATAGTGACCAGCCTTTCAGACCCTATTTTGGTAAGCATCCTCATGAAGTGTCCTTGAGAAAGACACTCTATTCGTCCCAAAGCAGCTGCTGAGCCTGAGCTTCGTCCATATTGAGTGGAAATTGGAGATTTCCCTTATTGGAGTCAATAAATAATCATTCAATGTATGTGTTTTGTGGTTTTCTGCAGGTAGTGGTTGTGTTCTGTCTGTGGAATACTGATGTCATCAGAGCTTATGTTTTTCAAGCCAGTGGACAGACAGAGGGAGGAGACAACCCACCAACTCATACTAAACGTGAGAACAGTCTTGGTGCTTGATTCAGGACAAATGGAAAAATATGTTTCATTCCCATTTTGAACAGTTTCTTGTGTAGTGAAATGTAGCTAATTATAAATGCTTAAAATCACCAAACTCGTGGTTTACACGTTGTAGCCCTAAAAAGATTAAATACTTTATTAATAATACATTTTTGCTGACCCTTTACAGAAGTATATAGTGCAGCCGTTGGTTTCAGTGCATTTCACAATGTTATTAAAAGTCTCAATTGTAGGCAGGGATCATTTTAGTGCATTCATTGATGCTCTGACATCTCAGAATGGTATGCTGCAGAAAATTAGGTTGATGAAAAATACATTTCTGAATAAATTTAGTTATTTCACATCAGCCCAGATCTCAAAATTCAGATTCCAATAAGTTTCCAAAACAGCCCCACAACACACTACTATAATGAATCCATGACCAAACATGTTATCTGGCTCCGTCTCTTTTTGTTTCATTGTGCACTGAAGAACTGAAACCAAAGACCACCCGCAGAGTGCTTTGAAAACAGTTTGTAGTAAAACCATTTGTAGTTATTTGCAACATGTGCTCTTTGTTGTTAATGAACTTTGACCTGCATGTAAACTTTGTGTGGTATACATACATAAACAAATCGTCCTTTAAAGATGTTTACACATTTCTTTTTAAATAAGGCGAAAGCAGGCGTCTGAAGAAAGAAAATAAAACAGATTCATATCTGAGTTGCAGATGTATACAGTACGTTTGCAGCAGTTGTAACTAAATGTGCTCCTCTCCCCCCTCCAGCCGTCTCGGAGTGGGTCAGCTCAGCGGGCTCTTGCAAGGGGAGGTGCTTTGAGTTGGAGGAGGCTAAACCTCCAGGATGCAGGTGTGACAATCTGTGTAAAACCTACTACAGCTGCTGCTCTGACTTTGACGAGCACTGCTTGAAAACAGGTCAGTCTGATGTCACTCCGCCGTAATGACTTCTCCTGGTTTGATCTTTTTTAACACATTATGCTCTGATAAAGAAACTATGTTTTCTGTCCTGTTTGATAGTTTTGCAGGATATCAATAAAAGTCGTTGGCTAAGAAACAAGTGATTCAGTTTTTGTTCAGAGCACTAATAAAATAAAACCAATCTGGCACTTCTCCCATGACTGTCTGTTACTTTATGTAGAGTTAAAGGTATCCATAATCAAGTTGAGAAGCATTTTATATTATTAAAGGATCAATTTGAACAAATTGTGCAGCCTTGTAAGTGCTCATGTATATGCTGTCCTTTCTCGTTAGAAGCAATTCTGTATTGACCAGCTAACAGATTTAAATAATTTGTGTGTTTATAGTTGTTTTTGTAGTGGTTTAATGTTATCAATACACATATAATAATGTGCCAAAAGCTGGAGGAGCATTCCTATGTAAGCCCTTTATGTTAAATGATACTGTTAAATGGTGTTGTACGTACTTCATTGTATCTTCAAGGACATGCTGGTGTATTTTATATTTTTCTTATTGTCAACAAAGCCCATGCAAAGGCCCAAACCAACAATGTGTTACTATGTCTCCCTCTTACTTTTTGACTTCCCTACCATGTCTGTGGCACTCAGACCAAGGTTTACAATTTTAAAAAGCTAATGTTAGCCATCATTACTCAAACAGTGGAAAAAAAAATATTGTTTGGGACTGTTTTCAGCAGCAGATCCCACATGTGATTCTCTAGTGAGTATTTGGGGCAGCAGGTTGGTGTATGTGGGACTTAGTCAAAATAAACTACCATGTGTGTGTTCATGGTGATGAAGGAGAATGTGCAGCAGTGAGGCTCACTGATGTGTTTTAGTTTTGTGTTTTTAGACAACAATAGAGTTATATGGCTCAGAGGAAGAAGAGATATCTGGCTGCAGATACACCGTACTTGTTAGTAGAGACATTCAGTGTTCGTTATGGTCTTTTCAAGAGATTTTTTAACAATAAGAAAGATATAGAATTTCACCAGACTGATCCTTTAGGCCTCTGTTTGTATCTGTATTCGGCAATGCTCTGATTGTTGATTCAGTTTGAGTTTCTAGGCAGCAGGAGTAAACTGTGTGTTTGCTGGGGACTATAGTTATATATTTACTATTAAATTTGTTTGGAATAGTACACAGCAGTACTACAGTAGCTCCAGGACCCAGAAAACTCAGCGTACACAACATGATAAGTCCTCTCTGCTGTAGCTGATGAAACATGGACAAAGGGCAGCTGTCCATCTGATGCTAATTTAGACCTTGGCTGGGTGAAGAGAGTGCAACCACAGTTTCATCTTGAAAACATTAAACAAACAACGCTGGGACGTTTTCCAAAATAAAATAAAAAATCTGTTGATTGGCGCTCATGAACTCTACAACCATGAGCTACTTGTCTTCTTTGCTTGTAACTGGATGATTTGTAACAGAGCTCGAGATTAAGTTCATGTGGATTCATTTGATCGGTGATGTTTTTCATATGGTTGTGAGCCTCATTGTGGGGTTTTAAAGCATTGAGGTTACTCTGATGAAATTATATTTAATGAACTTTCCTCTTTTTTATGTGTTTCAGCGGGAGGTTTTGAATGCACGCAGGATCGCTGTGGGGAGGAGAGGAATGACGACCACGCTTGCCACTGCTCAGAGGACTGTCTGGAGAGAGGAGACTGCTGCTCCAACTACAAGTCACTCTGCAAAGGTACTTATCATGTCTCTACAAAGCATTACATAACAATAAGAAACTGAGAATGAATGTGCATGAAAGCAGGTAATCATTCTGTGCTGTTGTTTCCATGTGAGATGAGACTTCATGGGTGCAAGAAGACTGTGAGGAGATCAAGAGCGCTGACTGCCCTAAAGGGTGAGTCTGAAACTGATTAAAGAGAATGCTGCAAATTACATATTTTGTTATTTTAATTAAGAGTATGAAGATATGTTTCTGTCAAATCATTACCTACCATACTCATAAGAATAAAAAACTGTCTGTCCTTTAGTGTCATTTGTGAGGACTACAACTGGATGATGAAGTTGAACAAAGCTCTTTTCATAATTTATCCTTTCTTAGTTATTGCCTTTTAACATGCCGCAATTGCCACTTGTGCATTTTGCCTTTGCATCCTCAGCTTCATTCGTCCTCCCCTCATCATGCTGTCTGTCGACGGGTTCAGAGCCTCCTACCTGAAGAAGGGCAAATCTGTCATCCCCAACATACACAAACTCAGTACGTCTTCTTCTTGCTGTAGTTGTATCGATTATAGAGATTCTGATCTATGAGACAGTGTGAGAGAAGATCTTAGAGAAGCTCTTCAGAAGCAGCTTCATTGCTTTAGTGGGTTTACACATAAAATGAATTTTGCTTTGATGTTTTGTTGCTTAAGCACAGTAGGTAGAAAAATACAAGAAAGATAAAGATACTGTATATTGTCCATGTTGTACAGGTGACAAGGCAAGATGTTGTTCAGCTGCAGATAACTTAAAATATGTTTTATAAAGTTTAATACTGAATGATTTATATTTGTTTCCTCTTAGGTACATGTGGTACTTCAGCGCCCTACATGCGACCAGTCTACCCATCAAAGACATTCCCAAATTTATACACCCTAGCCACAGTAAGTGAACCCATGTAATATCTGAATGACTGGTTCATATCTTTATCATGTAAGACCGGTTTTTAACATGAACTCAGATCCAACAGGCTGTTCATGTTGTGACGATGAAGCAGCTCTGATATTTATATTATATTAACTGTGGGGACATTGTTCTGTGGGATCTTTCTGCAGGGTCTGTATCCAGAGTCCCATGGCATTGTGGGGAACACCATGCACGACCCGGTGTTTAATGCCACCTTCAGCCTGCGTACTAGAGAGAAACTGAACCACCGCTGGTGGGGCGGACAACCTGTGAGTAAAGTCTGCATACCAGCTTGTGATTGGATTAGAAACTCACAGGCTGGCTAAATAAACCACAGTGAAAGGAGACAGTTTATGCATATCACTGATCAGGGTTAAAACTTCACAAAGATCACAATAACCAGGTCTAGTTTCACGTCCTGGAGGCCGTTTGAGAAAACTACCTTTTGTAAAATGCATCATCTTTCCCTAAATCAGATGGGAAGACTGATTTCAACTTTTGGCTCTCCTTTTAGGATACAGGACACATTTAGCCTAGCTTAGCACAAAGACTGGAGTCAAAGGGAAACTGCTAGCCTAGCTCTGGCCTCATATGAACAATTTCCTCCACAGTTACCTTATTTAACACACCCTGTTCACCTTGTAACCCTTTTTTTATTGTAAAAACTCCAGATTAGAGCTATTTCTTGACCGACGACAATCGCATACAGTGACAACACACAGCATCTCAAAACTCCCAATAATAGTTGGGTTTCCAGATTTCACCACTGTCCTACTATACACAAAACCGAGCTGACTCTTAGATGGATTTGTGACTAGCTTGCTGCTAACAGTCATGTAAAAAATATTAGTTTTGATGGAAGTAAGGTAGGAGTTTTTCCTTGCCTGTAGCCTTTGTGCTAAGCTGTGCTAAACAAATCCTGAAACTATGTCTGTAATGGTCCTGTATTCAGAGAGATAAAACGGATTTTGATTTTCTCATCTGAACATTGATAAGATATCAGGTTTATTTCCCAAATATTGCAGTGTCACTTACATACATTAGCTAAATGTGTGTTAAGTTATGGTACTAGAGCAGGAGGGCAGTGGGAATAATAGTATGGGTGAACAGTATATCCGACTAGATTAGGTAAAAGAAGAAAGACATTTCTGATAACATACTTTCCTTTCTTGTTTTACAGATCTGGATCACAGCAGAGGAACAAGGAGTGAAAGCAGGCACATTCTTCTGGCCTTGGTACTTAAGTTAGTACTGGAATATTTTTCAAAAGCTTCAGATACTGAACGCAGCACTGCACTGGTAACTAAAACCTTAAGGACTCAGCTGAGAGCATAGAGGCTAAAGGTAGTTTGGAAGGGAAATTATACAGGTTATTTTATGTTTATTTAGCTGGTGTTTGTGTCAAACATATATATTCTAAAAGTTAGTTATAATAGGCCTACACAGTGCTACATAATATACAATAAATCATGCTGCAGCATATGCTCCTAGGTTATTATTTTGATTAGTTTAAATGTGTAATCAATGCAGTTGTCATCTTAATCAGCTCAACAATATTATAGAGGAGTAAAAAATATATAGATGGTTACAGAATTAAGCAAGACAAATTTATGGGAGTTATTAAGATTTACGTTAATTCGTTTAAACTGATTTTTATATTCCCATTTCCTCCGTTTATATCATAATGTCATCACCAAATAAACAGGAGTATAAATAAATTTTCCAGATATCCAGAGTTTATCAGCGTGTTTTCAGTTTAGCATTTTGAGACTCTTTGATTCACCTAACTATGGCAGCACGGAGAGATTCGTTTCAGAAAACATTTACATATCCGTGACATAATGATCACAAGGGCAGGGGAGGCTGAGCGCTGGTCACATCCTGAGACTGACTGACAATGGCCCTAAACATCCTACACACGGACACGGGACAATAGCCCTACACACTCAGTCACAACACAGGCCATTGAGGGCTCAAAGCAGCCTAAACACCGGCTTGTTGAGGCACTGAGCAGAAAATTGCTTGAATCAAGAAAAAAATGTTGAAGGCAATGTGGTGAAAGACATCAGGCTGCTTTTTATATACTGATATTATTGATATAATACATATAATACTGATTGTGTTAGGCTGGTATTTCCGCGTATTGAGACATTAAATTAAGGAAAGGTAAATAATAAGTCAAGTATCAACTGTGAAGAATCTGTGATAAGACATTTTGCTTGTTAATCAGCATTCACCATGTTTTGTTTCCAGGGTGATTCCCCTGGAGAGGAGGATATTGACCATCCTGCGCTGGCTGCATCTGCCTGATGATGAGAGGTGTGTCTTTCTATTCTTCAGACTTCACTTAGCACTTAGAAAAGAATCCAGTTTTGTTTTGTTTTTTTCTCTCTCATGGCAAAAACTTTTACTTGCAGTAGCAGAAAAGGCACAGGTGGAACTAATAACGTTAGTGTTGTCTCAGTATCCCTGTAAGCCAGCTGTAGACAGCGAGCCAACACAATGTGGGGCTCTGGAACTGGGCCAGCTGAATTGAATGCAGCTGATATAAATGTGTTTTTTCTGCTACTGAAAATCAAAGTTTGTGCCATGAGGTTTATAGAAAAAAAATGATCAAATGATTATGTTTGTTTTCTCTTCGAAATATTTTGTTTTCAGCTTTCCCTTTACACTAACACACAAGCTAGCTTTCTAGATGTAATATAACTTTGTCTCCACATTGCTCAGTACTTATTTAACTGTCAGGTTTCAAGCTCCTGTCCCCCTGGACTCAGAAACTCCTCATGCTCATAAGGATGTTTAAGTGACTGCAGAGGCCCAGGGTTTTACTGAAAATGTGTATACTTTAGAATATATTTTTGATAGGGTGATGCTTATGCATATATAGTTTAAAATTTAACTGATATTGTATATCAAATATTTTAGACATCATCGTCAGACTTATGTGGGTTTATATAAGAGGTGCTGGGTGTTTTATATTTAGTCAGGCGTCTCTGTGAGTTGATAAGTGTCTCTAGAAGACTTGAAGATAAAGGTTGTTTTTAGAGTTGTGCAGATGCTGGGTCAGTGAAGGGGTCATGAGCTGATAAGTGTTTTTAAAGTGTGTTGAGGCAGCGGGTTAGGAAGGTTCTTGTGTTTCGGTGTGAGCTAAGGTGGGATGCTCACTGTCAGAAACAACAAGCTTAGTGAAGAGTTTTATTTTCTTATTACTCATCACGGTGACCTCAAAATGCTCTCCCACCTAAAGGGTTTTTAAGATAAACCTAGACCTCATGATTAACTTGTCTTTGTCGTCTCTCTTCAGGCCGTACGTTTACGCTGTGCACTCAGAGCAGCCCGATACCTTTGGACATCGACTGGGACCGCTCAGCAGTGAGGTGAGTGTGAGACCTGAGGGGCGGAAAGTGACAGTGAAGCTGCTGAAAGTGTGAAAGCAATTTCAGTTCAGTACATCACTACATTTAGGATTTATTTCTTTTTTTAATCCTGCTTTTTCCTGTTTATAGCTGGATAACCCTCTGAGGGAGATTGATAACATCATTGGTCAGCTGATGAACGGCCTGAAGCAGATGAACCTGCATCGCTGCATCAACGTCATCATCGTTGGAGACCATGGTATGACCACCATATAATACTCGAAGACCGGACATTTTGTGTTATCTTTTTTCTTTAGGTAAATCTGTCAAGTTGACGTAAAAGTGAGTTTATTAGTCAATGGATGACTTACAAAAAGAAAACAAGGGATACAAATACAGATAACCCCAAAACAGAGCAAATACTTGACTGTTCTTGGGCTTTTAATGATGCGTAATCATCTCCAGATTCAATGACGTCTAAAGGGTCAGCTCATCCAAACTACAAAAAACACATTTACATCTCACTTAGTAGTGTCTAGCCATGCAAATAGTTATAGGTTTCAACATATTTGTATTGGAGATTTCCGCCACCACACCCGTACAATAGGGGTGAATGAAATTTGACATAGCTCAACTGTAGCCTGTCTTTGACGAAACAATACACAGTAGAATTTAACAAAAAAAGTTAACAACAAACGTTAACAAAAGATTTGTTTCTCACCAGGTTCAGGTTTGACATTTTTCAAATGTTATTTTTGTATTTGTGTTATAATGCTATTATTTAATAAGGAGTTGGGCACGTTTAAGTGTTATTATCTCCTCAGGTGAACAGGTGACAAGCACTCCTCGAGTAAACGGCGGGCACTCTATGGATAGGATCCATAGCAAAGGCTTCTGAGCGCTAAACAGCTGCAGCCTATTTAACTTAAGTTACAATTATAGGCTACATAACTTTACCTGACAGGCCTTCATCTAGTTTTCCCCGTGTGAATTCCCTTCGGTTGTCTTATTTAGGAAAGAATAATAGATTCTGGAAACTCACAAACAGCGAGGATCAGTCTCTCTTCCAATGATTTGTGCTCCGCGTCGTGTACAAAAAGTTCAAGACAATTCAACTTTGGCAGCGGGCGGGCGTGTGCGTGAGGCGACCACTTCACCTCACTGGTAACAAGGACACTCGCCACTGAACATAGACTGTTTCTGCTGCTCCCTGATAAAAGAAAAATGTTTTTTCTGATACATGTTCATAAAAACCACAAGAAAACAGATTCATGTATGTTGACCTGTTGCTCAGAAGGTGCCTGTTATGATGTTATAATCGTGACTCTGGACTCTAGCTTGTTTTAACAAGCTATAAAAGATAGGCAGTGGCAAATAGCTTTGGTTTAATATTTGATTTGATTAAATTAATGTTTAAGTTGAGATTTACACTAAATATTTTATTGCTACTGTGTAAAGGGAATACTGCAATTGTAATTGTAGCCCAGAACTGGTAATGACATTAAATAAAGACAAAGATTTGGCGGCCTAATATGGGTTCTGATGGCTCGATTTATAAAGAGTTCAAATAGTCCCTATGACAACTTTTGACAGGTCTGTAGATTTTCTAGAGTAACAGGGACATTGTTTCTAGAAAGACACAATGCTGTTAAATTTTTCAGTGCTTTAAAAGTGGCAGCACAAGTTTCCGAGGCAGATATCTTAAACACATATAAACAAAACTATCGGCGTGGATGAGAAAAGAGGGTGAAAAAATATGTTTTATAACTTTTGTTACCTTTAGGTGAACTGACCCTTGAATAATAATAACAGAAACCAACGGCTGTCTTTTCTGTCTCTCAGGTATGGAGGAGGCCCACTGTGATCGCACAGAGTTTCTCAGCAGCTACCCGCTCAACATAGAGGAGATCACGCTGATCCCCGGCTCACTGGGCAGAATACGACCCCGTGACCCCAAATCCTCCACATGTAAGATAACAGTGACTGGTTTTAACACTAGACTGTATCAGATCTTTTAAGAAGTAAAACAGGCTTTGTTTTGACATGATATTTTCTTTTCCAGATGACCCAAAGGTTGTGGTTGCAAACCTCACTGTAAGTACTGTAAATAACACATAACACAAACCATTTTCCCTTTGAGTTCTCAAGCTGCCGAGTGTCCCGTTTGTCTGTGTGGGAGAAAGAGAGGTCAGGTCGTTCACCTTCGTATTTGTTGTTTCAGTGTAAAATGCCAACTCAGCACTTCAAGCCATACCTGAAGCAGAACTTACCAAAGAGGCTTCACTACGCCAACAACCGCAGGATCGAGGACGTCCACCTGCTGATGGAGAGGAAGTGGCACATCGCCAGGTAACCTGTGACCGACTGATTCGATACTGCTAAAGGAGATCTTTTAATGTCAGTAATTCAGCATCTAGCAGTCCCTGCTCTGTGGGTGGACTGGACCTCCTTAAGATGCGAGCACCTAATATAACCCAACCTAAACCAGGTCCAGCTTAAATTTCCACCCTTGAGACTGTGGAAAATGGATGTAAGTGCTCTGTGGTGGCACTTTTTCTACACTCGAGTCTAATCATGTCCTAATTCATAAGAATCTGATTTTTATTCTATACACTGAAACACCATAAGCACAAGCCTAATCATTTTGTCTGTGTGGTGTAATCTGCTTCATCAGCTAGGCAAACTGCCAAGTGGATGCTATTTGCTATCAATTAGACAGTGTAGGTCAAATAATTAAACCATCATTCAATTGAAGACATCTTTTAAGAACCCTCTGATCATTTATTTGTGCAGGAGGATGTTGGCCAGTTTCCGTTCACATGCCTGACATAGTTGGATAAGGTGAAAAATGTCCTGTGATCAAAATAGAACTAAGGCATTTTTTGAGTCCCTGAAAGCTTGATAATTTAGACTTGGCAGACTTTCACCCAGCAGTGACAGAATAAAATAAATAAAATTTGGGATTTGTTATTACATAACTGTTTAATTTCTGTTTCAGTGGCCTCTCACACTTCAGCTAGAGAAATCTTAGGAGGAATTATTCTGAATGTGCTCTCATATTCTCTAGTATCACAATTGTTTTCAGTTTATATTTTTATAGTTGGGTGCAGAAGCAATCGGTAGTTGAAATTTTGTTGAATATTTTTTTATTTGCTTCAGGAAAATGCCAGAAAAATTGAGGACTCGGTGTGGCTTCTTTGGTGACCATGGCTTTGACAACAAGATAACCAGCATGAGGGTACCGTGTAGTATTAAAGTTTCTTTAATATCATACCTCTTTTTCTCTCCTGTATTATTGTAACTGTGTACGAGGTTACAGGTTTATTGCATTTCACCTGCTGTCTGATAAAATAGTGAGTTTAAGATGTACTCTTTTATTTCTCTGATTGAATTCTCCAAATGCAACCAACAAATCCCTAAATTTCCTACAACCCTTGCCAACATGTTTAATAAACTGCTCTGCTGTGACTGATTAAAGGTTGAAACCAGATATAATAATAATATATAACTGATGAAACATGAGTTAAAATTGTTTTGTACTGTAATAATCACTAAACCATCAGCAGCAAATTGCTTCTGATGCTTCACATATATGCAGTAACCACTTGGTGCAGCTACTGCAGAACTATAATACAGATGATAATAGTGCAGGTTTAGCACTGATTTAGAAGAGAAACTTTCTCTGTGTTTAATGCATATATTTCTTTTTTTTTTCTTCATGCAGACAATTTTCATGGGTCATGGACCAAGCTTCAAGTTCCAGAAAAGAGTGCCAGAGTTTGAAAATATAGAATTATACAACGTCATGTGTGGTGAGAATATTATTATTTGCATAAGAATAATCTCAAAGTTGTTTTTTACAGAACTGTTTTTTACAGCCACACAACAAACTGTAAAAGAACCTCTTAGATTTTATCCTAAAATGTTCATGTTCAAATACACTGAACATGCCGTCTCTATTTCTGCCTTTTTTCTGTCTCAGACTTGTTAGGGTTGAAGCCGGCCCCTAACAACGGGACACACGGCAGCTTGAACGATATGCTAAAAGACCCGCCGTACCACCCCAGCATGCCAGAGGAAGTGACACCACCGTCGCCAGCGTCCGACTCTGATGACACTGGGACGCAAGACTTGGGCTGCAGCTGCGATGATGAGGTCAGAGGAGGACAGTGACGTCACAAAAAAACCCCCACATTTCTCACATGGATTAAAACTGAGCTGGCCACGCTGTACTTGTAACCGTGTTACATAACAAAAAGATTAAAGCTGCATTACTTGACATTCATCTCTTTGACTGTTGATCTGTGTTTTTCTGGTACAGAACAAAGTGGAGGAGATCATTGAAGCCTTCAGTCCTGCACAAGATGGAATCTACACCTACAGTAGGTTTCTATACACTCTCTGTGTCTTTTTAAAGCTAAACGTCTAGAAGAGCTGCAACAGGACAATGGACCACTGATCAGCTGTGCGTATGTTGCAACTGAAGGAAATTGTTGCCCAAATTGTTGCCCAAACATGCAGCATTAGTTTTAGTAGTACCAAGTTCTTTGTCATACGATGTGTTGGAAAGTTTTTGTCAAGTATTTTTTATGTTCTTATTACCCACCACCAGAGATACTACTAAGAGTACTAAAATATTCTATTTCAGTAAAAGTACAATTATGTTGATGAACTTTACTTAAGTAAAAGTAAAAAGTAGCCCATTTAATATTTACTCAGAGTAAATGTTACTTTTTTAACCTCCTAAAAGACCTTATTTATACGGATTTAATATCTTAATTATACTTATCATACTTATTTAATGAAATTGCAGTATTTTGCGATTTGATAAGGGCACAAAGCCATATTGTTTTTTTTTCAAAACAATGTTGGAGACCTTGTTGTAATGTGAATGTTTTTGCTTCATGATGAAACTGTGGCGGGAAAGATTAGACTACGGCAGACCGCGTTGGACAGTGTGTGAAGTCATATTCCTATTTATAATCAATTTTTGAGGCATGCACAAACATAGCCTACATTTTTTTCACTCAGTAACAGATGTGATTTAACATATAATGAAGTGCAATATTTCAAACAAACATACTAAAAACGACTTTAAAAAGTACAAGTACACAAAAAAACTACTCAATTACAGTAACGTGAGTAATTGTAATTTGTTACTTTCCACCTCTGCCCACCACACATCACTGATATTCAGTCTTTGGACTGCCGAACTGAGGCACTATTTCGAGTTTCCTCTGTCTTTTATGAGTCAATAATAATCTAGAACTTTCACGACATCTTTTGGTGACTGGGAGGAACTGCAACAGAATAGACGGCCATCTGACATAGCTTTTTATCATGTAGAGGTGCCAGGTGATGGACTGTGTAGTGACATAATCATACAAAATATTTGTTGTCAATGCTTTTTGGTCCTCCTTGCTGAAACTTTATTCTCTAACAGTTGGTCTGGAGGTTTGGAGTTTCTGTGACTTCACTGATGGTGTGTTTGTGTGTTTGTGTGTTTGTGCAGACAGTACCCACCTCCCGTTCGGTCGCCCAGCGGTGATGTTTGACACTCAGTACAGTTTGCTTCATCATGTGGAGTTCATCAGTGGGTACAGCAAAGAGCTGGCCATGCCTCTGTGGACAGCATACACACTGCAACGACAGGTACACACACACACACACACCATACATCCTTCGCATGGTTTTCTACAAACTTTACTGCATTGTTTTTTAACGTTATGGCAGATTGCATTCTAAAGCAAACATAAATCTTAATGTCCTTCTTTTCAATCAGTCCCTTTCGATGAAAATCAAATTTTGGAGACTTAAAAATGGCTGCAGATAGATAATATATCCCTTATTTATTTCTTTATTTGTTGTCAAAGTTCAGCCCTGTAGAAATGCACCTGCTGAAGGGACTGTTTTTACTCTTAGTAGGCTGCATAAAACCGTAGCTTTTTAAATGCAGTCTCTTTTTGCTTCCAATAACATTAGTGTTTATGTTTTTCAATGCCTGTGATGCCAGAGCTTCTTTGAATTCACAATTAGAGAGAGAAATTCAAACTCTGCTTGCAACGGCATTACATCATTATTATAACAAAATGACCAACGCCCCCCCCCCGAAACTATTACATAAGATTTTATCTCCCAAAATCAGTGATACACTACTATATGTGCAGTAGACTTTCTCATGCTTGCACTAACGACATGATAACAGTGTATGTTTCCTCACACGGTTTGTGTCCCTGAGCACCTTCAGCTTCTGGGTGTTAGGTTAAAACACGTTTTAATGACACATAATACATGCTGTTGTTGAGTGACGGAGCTGCACAAACATGCAAACATAAATACAAACGTGTCCAGCAACACCAATCAACACACAGACTCTGCGTCTCAGACACTGAACACACACATTTGTCAGATGTTTACAGGAACTTGCTGCAGGTTTACAAGGTGCAGCTCCGCACTGATTGGACACATAAATTCACATGAATACCTATAAAAAAAACACACACACAGGCATGCGTGTATGTGAATGTGGCTCTTTTCCCTCTTTTTTTATAATTTCACTTTCATATTTGCTCCTATTCATTTTCATCCACAAAATCTCCTTTATTTTGCAGAATCCATTTGACATGATGTGTCTTTATCCAACCTCCTTACACAGGGAGTAAACGAGAACAGCAGATGGTCCAGGCTACACCAAATTAGATATATATATATGTCAAAACATAAAAGTAAACATATTTGTTCACTTCTCTTTCTTGTTTGGTGTCTCTCAGGATGACACGACTCCAGTTCCAGAGGGTTTCCCCCGGCGTTCAGTGTATCCGAGTCGACTCCAGAGTGTCAGCTGATCACAGTCAGAGCTGCACCACCTACAGCCAGAGCAACCACCTCACCTACGGCTTCCTCTTCCCCCCAGGTAAGCCTGCAGGACGACCACAGGACGCTCTGCAGAGGATTGTTAATACTGTTTGTTTTATTGGACGGGGACGATGCACAGTATTCAATCAAACAACAGTTATTCCCAACTGAACACAGGCAAGGCTGTCGCTGTAATAAAGTATAATTAATCACTCAAATGCTGACGTACCTCGGTGACTTCTTAAAGTTGTTAACACAAATCTGTTGATCTCCATATATAATCACAACATATCTAAGACGCAAGTAGCATTCATATATTTACATCACTTTTGTTTATGGTGTTTATCAAAGAACCAAACTGATGCAATGCCTATTTATTTATGTTTAACTGCAGTTTTATTGGAGTAAGTTATATTATAGTGATAGTTAATAACCAGTGATTAACCACCTGTAGTCAAGTCTGCTATTTTTACTTTTACATAACTATAAGACAAATTATATAACCTGTGCAAATTTCCCATCAAATCAGGCGATTGTGAAGTAATAGATAGTTATGTAATAGTTATGTGATTGTGATGTGTTCTACTGACATTTTGAACTGAATGTGTTTTTATATTGTAAGTATAGTACAGTAGTCATTACTGTATACAGAACACACTGAGATTACAGATCTTCATCCATATTTGCGGATTATGCAGGTGTCTACCAAACCCGAATATTTTTTTGACTTTACTCTGTGATCTGACATTTAATACAATATTGTTTCGATGTGTAAAAGCACCTGTGTTTGTTGTGTGATTTTTCTGGCAGAGTTGGCATCATCTCCAGAGTCCAGATATGACGCTTCGCTCATCACCAACACCGTCCCCATGTACCCTGCCTTCAAGAGTAAGTCACACACTTCACTTAATTCACACTCAGAATACAAGTTATTGATCCACAAGGGGGAACTGTGGCATTGAAGGAAGCACAAGTGAAGAAAAGTGTAAGTAAAACCAAACCATAGAAAAGGGCTAATGTGTCCGGTGTGCCGGCGTGCTTATATACGCCTCCGGTTACGCCGCCACACACTACCGTTCTAGCAACACCAGTAGGATTAGAGTAGTTACATTCATAGTTCAGCCCTGCCACGCCCAGAGGCGTTCCCATAGCGTCGTCACCGACGCAGTTCGAGTTCCCTCGGAGGGGAACTATGTTACTTACATAATCTACGTAATTTAACTAAAAACAATCAATGTTGACTTTTTGTTCCGCCCGTCCACCCCAACCACATCCTTACTCTGACTTTTTTGTCATTTACATCCTACGCCTGCTTTTACCGTTCATAAATGACTCCACAGGGCTTCCCTGAGTGCTACAGAATAACGCCAAGGGGTCTTTATCATGCGTCCACATGTGACGGCTTGGGAGTGAGATTGGGTTGGGTAGTGATGTGGTTTTTGCCACCAAGCAATGATTGGTTTGCCAGAGCTGAAGGCTCACACAGCAGGTTTAAGTGATGGAATCATCTTATTGGAGTTCCAATGCAATAATGAATCTTCCAAAATACAAACCACCAGGAAAAGAGTACAGAACCTGTTAGTTTTTGGGATTCAACCCTGCAGAGATTACAAGCTGTTGGACAAAACAACAGAAAGACCTGACAACACAATAAAATCCATCTCATTTAACTGTCCGCGATTATCAGATTTGTGTGTCCCTCCTCTCTTCCTGTACATGAGTCGTGTTGTGTCACATGAGACAGAGAACTGAAATGTGGTGATGTCAGGTCTGAGCGAGGACGGCCTGATACCCATTGTTTTTGTTTCTGTAGAGAGGACTTAACAGGACAGAACACACACACTCTCTCTGAATAGCTGTCTCATGCACATCATTCATCACTGTGGCCATCTGTGTGGACGGAGTGTACACAGGAGATTTTATTGTTCATGTATTAAGGCTGGTACATGGATTGGTTAAATCAAGATTAAAGGGGAAGCAGACAGAGGAACAGGATTTATTTATTTTCATTCTTGTCCAGAGTGACTCATGATTGGAAAAAAAAAAGTGACTCATGACTGAGTTCAAACTGCCGGAGGTGACCCAAAATTTGTTGTGTAATATAGATTAAAAGATTAATTTATTTTACAGTCCATTAGAGGATGTTTTAACTTCTCCAGTAAAATGTTATTCGATTACTCCTTCCTCCTTTTCTTCCTGTTTTCCACCTTCAAAGAAAAAGTGTACTTGCATAACAATTACTGGAATTAAAAGGTGACTTAGTCAGTGATTTAATGGATTGCTTGAAAATGGATGTACTGTAATTAGGCAGAGATTTAAAGGCAAAGTATAAAATCAAATTAAGGCATGTTCTCTCCCGGGGTGGGTTCCTTTGGAGAGGAAGCCCTTTAGTTATTGAGTGAACTACGTATTATTAAATTAACAACCTGCAAAATTAAAACACATGTAAGTTGTGTTATTCAGTGCACAAAGATTTGCCTCTAAGGCACAAAGACACAGTAAGCTGGGAACAGTTTCTGGAAAGTAAAGCTAGTGCTGCAGTGGTGTAAAAACCCTGCACTGTAAAAACTCCTGTTTGTATGATTTCATGTTTTATTTTATTTAACGGATTATGTAGATATACATGTCCCCTGGGCTTCTGCAACTTTTCACAGCCAATTACATAATACTCAGACGTTAATGCATTCTACTTCTAGACAAGTAATGACCATTTATTGATTTTTATGCATGAGGGTGTTTTTCCTTTGAAAGGTGAAAAAATCTGCGGAACAGCATTTAGCGTTCTGGAGATGGTCTGGTTGATCTGATTGTATCCCAGTTGCAATACACCTGCATTAACATGCTCTGATGCAGAGAGGATTTCCAGATCCAGACATGTTCAAACCAGGTGGAAATGGGGTTGATGAGTTCATGAAGGAACCTCCATCTTATCAGAGGCCGATGACACTGACTCACTTATTCCCGATTATTTATCAAAATGTCAGTATTTGCTTTGTATTGTACCATCTCATCTGTTTTCCTGCCTGCAGGAATGTGGACTTACCTGCAGGGGACGCTGCTGAGGCGTTATGCAGAGGAAAACAATGGCATCAACGTTCTCGCTGGACCCATCTTCGACTACAACTACGACGGCCTCCGAGACACCACAGACAAGATAAAAGAGTAAGTGATGGTAATTGGTCTGCACTTGTATGACGCCTTTCTAGTCTTTCCGACCACTTACAGCACTTTTACACTACATCACATTCACACAACACATGTAACTGTTTGATTGGATAAATTGAAGCTAAATGTAAAGTTGAGCTTCAAGCTTCATCAGTGGGAAAAAGTAGTTTGACAAATATATGGATGATACTTTCTGAGTAGATGAAACGTATAAACAAACCAATATCAAACTTTACGTGGTAAATTATCAATATCATTCAAGCATCTGCCAGATCTATAACAACAACCAGCCTTTCATGTTATAAGGAGAAACCTTTGTGAAATAAGTTTTTTGATATGTTGTTGAAAACATTCATGTTTATAGTATTATAAACTCAGCTTCTTTGTATTGTTAACTAAACAACATCAGTACAAAGTGACACAACACTTTTTTCCTGTTATTCTTATGGTTTATTTTTATTGTAAATTGTTTTAACCAGTTTTGAGTTGTCCCGGGAGTATGGGTGCTACTTAGCTGCTGAGCTAATATTTACATTGATTTAAAAATATATTATATAAAATATACTATATATTACATAACTTACATTGCCCTTTAACAAAAAATAACATCAAACAAAACAAAACATCTAAATTTATAAAATGCTCCGCTGCTACTTATGTGACTCCCTCCTCTGTCCAGATTCTCAGCCGAGGCCCCGTCCGTCCCCACCCACTTCTACACAGTGGTGACGAGCTGCCAGGAGATGAACCAGACTGTGGAGGAGTGTGACGGGGCACTCGGGGTCTTTTCCTTCTTACTTCCACACAGACCAGACAACAGTGAGGCCTGCAATGTGAGTTCAAACTATTTACAGCAGGGGGCAGCGCTGTCCCAGCATTCACTGCAGTTATAAAATAAGACCAACCAAGGAGACACACAGACTGTTGGGTTAACTGGTCTTTCTAATTTTTCTAATCTGTTTTATAAAAGATTAGTTAGGCGAGAACATGGGTATTGAAACAGGGTTTCTCTTATCTGGCTGATCTGACCTCTCGTGAAATGTGGAGCTTTCTCTGTGAGGTATCACCAGGAAGACTGCGGAAAGTCATGGTGACACAACAGCAAAATAAATACAGGTAAAAACAGGTCAAGATCATGTCTGTAGTCCTTTTAGTGAGGCTGTCCGAGACAATGATTCAGCTCAGTGTCATTTTTGCAGCTGTGTTTGTGGTTTGCCTTTGTTTAGAGAGACCTAACTTTGAGTTACTTAAAGATAATTATTTATTTCAAGAACGCTATACAGTTTATGACTAATTTGGAGAACCTTTAGAATATTTAGTAGTTAGTTGAAAGAGGTCAAATTAGGAGTGTTCAGTACATATAATGTGTTATACTTGGGTCAGCTTCATGAATTATTTTTTACATTATTGATATTTTAGTTGTATTTTCAGTATTTTCAAAGGCTTGCTGGACTAGTAACTAGTAAACGATTAAAATCAAATAAAATGTCTGAGTTGAACCCTGTTGAAATCTTTCGTCGCAAAGAATAGTTAGAGATTAGAGATTAGAGGCCTTTTTTTCCCTTCTTAAAGTGAGATGAGAAGATCAGTACCACTCTCACGTTAAGGATGGAGCTGGAGCGGAGAGTGATTCACCTAGCTTAAAGTTCCAGTGTGTAATATTTGAAATGCAATATAATATACATAACTACATTTTCAGTGGTGTATAAAGAGCTAACATAATTAACTGTTATGTTTTTATTACCTCAGAATGAGACATTTCCATCTATATACACCGCGGGTCCTCTTACATGAAAGTCGCCGGGTTGTGCCGCCATTTTTTCTACAGAAATTTGGACAAATGGACGAACACATATTATTTAGCCCAAGAGCCGACAGAGCGTGTCGGCCACCGTAGATTCTCCTCCGAGCTTGGAAAGGTCGTTTATTGCAACTTGCAAACCTCATCACTACATGACACTAAAACCTACACTCTGAACTTTAAAGGACTGACATTTGCACTCATTTTAGTGCGGTCCCTTTGCTTGAAATAGACAGTGTGCTCGAGTTTCAGCTGAAACATGCTGCCAAGCGCATATACAGAAACAGGAATGTTAATCACATACTGTTTCTGCATCTCATGAGTCATAGCAGGGTTCCCTAAAGGTCTCAAACAGCTTGACGCCAAAAGACAACTAAATAAGTCCAAACTGCATCAGTAAATAGTAGGAACTCTCACTCTCACAATGACTCATAGGACATCTGCTCAAACCAAGAACTCACAACGAACAAGCTTATGTCTGTCATTGTCAAACAACACTTTTTATTAGATTGTGTAAGGCATTCTTGTATTCCTCCGCAGTAACCACAAGAGTGAAAACAAGAAAAAAACTAATTTATTACTTAAGAATAATAGTGCAAGCGTAATTTCCTCAATACACAGGCTCTGTAATGCAGCTATATATCAGTCACTCATCAAGACTGCAAAGCTAATTTGGTTGCCAACAGGTTTACTGAGAAGTAAAGGGTGAAACTTAAAGAAAAACAAGCAATGTAATGAAATGATATTTGTGAGCTCAATTGTTACAAATAGGAAATTAATTTTTTTAACAGTCATGATATAACAACATATTTGTAAACATGCACACTATGTGGGTAAAAAAAATATGACTGTCACAAATGGAAACAGACCAAATAACAAAATAGCAAAATGTGACACCTTCAAGGTTTATGCATCTTTTAAAAATAGGACAGCACATATAGACAAATAAAACAGACAGAAAGTGTTGCTGAGTGGTTTAAATATATATATTTTTAATTTTACACTTAGCTGACGCTTTTATCTGAAGTGACTTACAATTGCTATACATGTCAGAGGTCACACGCCTCTGGAGCAACTAGGGGTTAAGTGTCTTGCTCAGGGACACAATGGTGGACGTCTCACAGTGGGAATCAAACCCAGATCTCCCACACCAAAGGCAAGCATCTTATGTATGCGCAGTCCCCTCACTTAGTAAGTAACTATGAAATAGAGTTCATTCAAAGTTCAGTCTCTCTGTTCCTGGCATCTTGTAATTGGCTCATGTGCATTTTCTTTCTTGCATTTCTTTCTATTTATGAGTCAGAGGTGTTGTGGGATTCAACCTAAATCACTTCCTTGATCGTTTACAGAAATTGATTTTGGCTCTGGGAGGCAAACACAGAAATCCTTCCTGCTGTATAACGGGAACTTTTCAATCATTTAAGAATCACAGGTTCTTTGAGCAAGTCTTGCTGCTGCTGCACAGTGATAAACATTCTTTGCATGTTTACATGTAAGATGCAAATTTGTACACACTATAAATTAAACAGTAGCTCCATTTCAAGGGAGAACCATTACAGTTAACAAACAACAAAAACCTTCACTGTAAATGTCATGATTGGATGAAGCCAACATACTTGTGCTCTGCTGCTGTAACTCTGAGTCATTTATACGTAACAAAAACATAAAAACTAGCCCTTAAATAATTTTCTCAGCACAATACCGGCTCAGTTTCTCTTACAATTAGTAAAGTCTGTTTCTGATTGGTTGACAGACCTAATCCCCTGAAAGGTTTCAGCATCTCATATTTTTATTATGTTGTTTAACGAGTCCAAACACAGCACTGACTTTTGTTTAGTCAAACTTTATGAGATCATTCTCTGCTTCTATCTAACATTCATAAAAACATGCAAACAGGCTGTGTGGTGTAGCCTGGCTGGAAGGGTGGTAGGTAGGCAGACTCAAACATCGTATGTTCGCAGAGGTGATTATTTTATTTACAGTGGTCTGCAGTACACAGATAATTCAACAATCAAACAAACAGAAAGACGTAAGAATTTAACTTGTAGCAACACTAACAAAAAGGCACGTATTCACAGCAGCCTCACCTCTTTCCCCCCTTGGGAGCACAAATCCCACTGTTTATATAGGGCGGTCAGTTCACACCCAACCGCCTCAGCCTATCCCATTCTGATGCAGGTTGATCTACTCCATAACATTAATACCTAGAAATCTCTTAACATTTGGAACTTCGTTACCAGTTCACTCCGCTCCCACAGACTAGAAAACAGGTCAGGGTTATTCACACATTTATTCACAATAATCAAAAACAACCAAAAGAAACATTCCGATAAAGAAAGAAAACCCTCTGCTTGGTCATCCACGACCACCCTATTCCTATAAACAGGAAATGCTTAGGCCGGCCCTTCCCCAAACAATTGTCCTGCATGGTGGAACCGAACAAACAATTGTAAGTATTAACACAGGAAAACAGTTAAACCATGTTTAAACTTGCAACCTAATAAAATGGAGCTGAAAATAACTTTAAGACTGTTATGTGTCCAGGAATAACGTGACCTTAGTGGATTTACCAATCTATCTTTTAATATAGGATTTCTTTAAGGATAAGGCTTGCGTTATTCTAAATTTCTCTTGCCCAGGGGTTCCTGCATTATGCAACTGCATAATCTGTAGGCGTCAGCATGTGTTCATGTGCGTGAGGAAATCCCTTTCTTTTCTTGGTTGGAGAATCCAATATCTTTGAGGTCAAAAATGTCTTACACACAGCCTTCTTTCTCCCCTGATATATTTTCAGTTTTACTTTGCCAAAAAGAGAAAATAGATAGTGACTAGTCTGTCTGGTTTTGTTTCCTCCTGAACATTGCGGACAGAGATAATCTTCTTAGGGGGATTCTGAAAACAGTACTGGGCCATTAAATTAATTGACTGAAACAACCCCCTGAGTTACACTAAGTATAGGGTGATACTATTAGATTGGTCAGGACACAGTAAGGATGATTTTGAAATAGCAGCGATGCACTGCTTTTAGCCTTTTAAATATCAGTTGAGAGTTTCGGGAGGACGTACCAAACAAACACTTTCTTTTAAATGTAAAGTCTGTGCAGCACTGTTGGAGTCTTGAGGTCTGGAGAATTGGTGTCCTGCCAAAAAAATGGTATTAACAGAAAACTAAGAGTCTCTTCTAAACGAGTCAAGTATCTGCTTTTTATCTTGTACAGCTACTTGCAGAAGGTGGCTGGACTGTGGTGGAAGATGGATGCCGTGAATGGAAATACTTAGTTGGTTTTAACGTGTTTAAAATGATTGACTGTTGAATAAAAATATTAATATTTCACATTAACCCAGTGAACAGCCCGCCCTCACCAGAAAAACGGGCGTATTGATCACCTGTGCAAGCAGCCTGTTATGACTCGTTGTTAGGAGTCTTCCTTTAGTGCACATAGTAATTATGACTAGCGCAGCTGGCGAATGGAGGTTTTTGGGGGTAAAACAAATTTTCACCCAGGAGTCACATATAAAACCAAAAGTGCATACTTCACTTTTGACGTATGTAAAGTAATTATTTTAACCCAAACAACAACTTTTTTCTAAACCTCTAAAACTGTTTCGTTTTGAAGTTGTTTTGTTGCCTAAACCTAAACAAACTGTGAGTATTTTTACAACGTTAACCACGTGTTTAATGTCAAGCCTGTCGTTCAGGTATGAGGACGCATTGTATGTAAAGTAAATGAGCATTAGAAGAACTGAAAAGTGGGTTCTATCGTGCACACACTTAGTTCACCTTGGCACAGCAGAACATTTCCAGCAGGGGTACTTACTTATCTAACCCATTTCATATGGTTTGTCTGCTCACAAGGTCTTCTGATTTGTTTACAAAGAAACTGAGCTTCCAGTCTGCATAAAGGGCCACCCAGTCAGATTAATAGAGCACCAATTTAGGCAAAAAGAGAGCCACAGAGCCCAAAATTACTAATAATTGAATTAACTAGGAAGCTCAGTTCTTAGAAACAAATGAGAAAAAAGACTACAATA